ATGTTTAATTTAGATCAATTTTCTCCATAGATGGATGATGATGATGTTATAGATTTGTTTAATAAGCCTAATAAAGACTTTAATATTTTGGATGAAATTCATACTAATCTTAATTACTGTATGTAATATCTATACTTTTAATATTTATAATTGATTGTATGGTTTGATGAATAAAATGTAATGTTCGATCAGAATTGTTAATAATTCATTAAACTTCAAATATAAAACATACCAGTCTTTGATAATCTAAAGTGCTAGATATTGCAATTAATGAAATTTGAAGTTCATTAGGATTAGATAAAATCATATGAGGATTGCGAATTAGGAAAATACTTGATTTTAAAGATTAGAAAGTGGAACGAGTCAAATTTCAATGAGATTTATGATATTATTGATAGCAGCGACTTTTAATACATGTGGGTACAATTTATGACTCAAAGTCTAATTAACAAAACACTCTTGAATAGATAAATAATCTGTGAATTTTTGGAATAGGACAAAGATGATATACGATTCATATTGCTAAGGATACGATTGCTAATGTAATTATTACATATGGATGATTATCAATCAACAAATATTATCATAAATTAGAATATATAGAACTATTAGAAACTAAATAGAAAATATGAAGATAAGTCAAAGATATTGCAATTGAAGAGTCTCATAAAATAATATAAATACTAGTATTATTATTTGGAAGAATCGTGGTTTTAACATTTTAGTTTAAGTCAGCTTCGATTAACATATCTTTTGGCAATATGTTATGCATTTTCACCAAAACATATTGAGAATTTCCATAATTAAAGTTCATTTGAGATAACTCAATTATAGAGTGCCTTAAATTAAATAGAAGAAAACAAATAACAAGAGTCTTTTCATTTGATGTTAAAGGCTGCATAAATAGTGTAATTACATGATTATTGTAACTTGCTTGATGATGAAGCAATAGGATTTGTGAAATATCAATAACTTTACACTTTTATCACTTTAAGTTTGTAATAAGGAGTGGGTTTATAGTTCACATTTGAAGCTATTAAAAGAATAATAAATTACGATATAAACCCATCCATTTTTATTCTATTGTTGATTCAATAATTTATTAGTTTTTAGTTGATAGATTAGGTGGATATTTTTATTCGTTTAATTTAAAAGATGCAATAAAATAAATCAATGTTATTGGAAGAAGCTCATGAAGGATTTGATATGGATCTCAAAATCTTCACATTCTTCACGAAATCCCAAGATATGAAGATTATTAAACCATATGACTAGTTATATATTAGATATCCTACTATTTAGTAATACAAGGATCTTCTGTTAGATTCTTAAAGCTTATTTTATTTTTCACTTTATCATGAGAATATCGAAGAACAATAAATATAAATTAGAACCCAACTCCGATAATTGCTTCTAGATGCTAGATACACAAAGATGATTCAGCTATATGAATCATTGCTTTTATACTTCAATATGTAAATTGGGGAAGAAGTAGATTAATTGCATAGCAAGGTTGCAAGATATCAAATAACTGAGAAAACCTTATTTCATGCTATTATTTGTCATTAATTGAGTCGATATTATGTTTGTAGGTATGATTATCAATTAGCATTTAATTCTTCAAAACATGCACTTAATTACATAAAGTCCTCTCAATTTGAATAAGCAGTAATTATAAAAATTGAAAAAAATATCTTTCATTTTAAAAATAATATTTAAAATGAAGAATTAATGAAATTATTTAATTTATAACAATTTGATTGCATTTATGAAGAATCAGATCAATACTATAATAATGTGATTGATGAAACATTTATACATGAACAAATTTTGATTCACGTTGAATCAGTTATCAATTTATAATATCAATACATTTATTAGTAATCCTATCAAACCAACAGAGGTCGATAGCAATCATAATATTAGCAAACAAAATAGAATGAATAATAACAAATATTTGAAATTGATATTCAATTAACAGATCTTTTGTATTTGTTATAAACATTACCATTTCGATCATAGCAACTAAAGGTATTCTATATAATAGCCTAATATCTGTTGTATCATTTAACTAGTGAAGGAATTCAAACGGTAGAAATGAACCTGAAAAAGAATTGCAAATAAAGGCTAAAGGAGATTGCTAGTTAAATATCATCGATTAAGCTTATTGTAAGTTAAAAAATTCAGTAGAAGGAACTAACTTAAGAAGAATTTTAAGATGCAGAATTACGGAAGTAATTGCTTTCTTTTGAATAAATCATCCTAAATAGTGTAGAATATGGTATTAACAAAGTAATTATGTTGTCTTGGATTCATTAATCAATTGACAGAGCCCTTGAATTATGTGAATACTTTTAAGATCAATACATGATAAAAGTGCATTATTTCGTACCAAAATTTTAATTACTTCAAATTAGGATGTATTAAGAAGGAGAACAATTAATCAAGTTGATCAATTAAATTAGTTTTGTTAATGATTCCTTAAGAGATTTTTATTCGAACAATTCGCATCCGACAAAAGGAGTGCTTTACTATTTGATGGGCCAGTAAAAGAGATGGTTAAAATATATCTATATCAAATATATTGAATAGGTTATTGAATTTTAACAATTCAATATTGATGAATTGAGAGTGATTACCAAAGGTTTGCTTGAGCAAAATCTAAAACTGTATCACATTTGGGAGAAATTTGATTCTCCTTATAGATACACCATACCTTAAATATTGGAGGCATTTATTATAGAGGAAATAGGAAATATTGTAAAAGAGGATAATGATGCTACAGATTTAAAAGTGTTCTAGGCAGCTGGAATAGTTGAGGAACTAATTAAATAGTTTTAGAATCAAATAGATGTAAATGGTAATTTAGATTTCATTTATTCTGCCTCTTAATTTGATTATTTCAAGTAAGATAACTTTTACACTCAAGATATCAAATTTATTCAATAATAGGATAAGTTAAAGTAGTAGTAAGAATAAGATTTGTAGTAATAACAGCAATAAGTTGGTCAAAAAAGAAGATGATAAATATATATTTAGAATATTTATTAATAATTATTAATTAATAATAATACCATTGTCAATATTCTAATTTTTTATGTGAAATATTACTTTCCAGTCAACTATTATATTAAGTTTTATGGAAATTGGTATTTCAATTTATTCTATGAAAATCAGAATTTAAGTATCTGAATTAGTATTTAAAATTCCTTTATGGGTTTAATTTGATAATTCAATTTTTCCATTTCATATTAGACTTTAAAGAAAAATGAATTTAAAAAGAAATTGGAAAAATTAGTTAGTTTGCTGCATAATCCTAATTGCTTAAGTAAATTTATTCTAGAATATTGGCTATTTTAAATCTATATAAATATATGGTCTATTATAACTCAATTCTAGATTTAATGACTTCAGATATGAAAAATATTTATGTTCATAAGATAGTTTGTAGTCTTAAAATAAATATTATATCAAGGATACATTAGCAATCAAATATTACATTATCTAGTCAATATATTTAATTTAAAAACAATAATTCAATTAAAAGATCTTATCATAAGCAATTAAGGACAGTGACAATCATCTTCTAATTTAAATAAAAGATGTTTTATGAAGTTTATTTATTTATTTTTCATTTACATTATTAGAATATTTGGTTATAATAAAAAGCATAATGATTTATGAAATATGTACCTAATTTCCAACCAAACTGATTGTTTATTACTTTGGCTAGCATAATGGATAATTTATAAAATTTGATAAGAACACGCACTTAGAAAATTTGAATATGAAATAGAATTTAGATTAGGATAGGACTGGTCATTAAGTTGATAATATTGCATTTGAATTTAGTCATAATAAAAGATAAAAATTATATAAATTTTAATGAGTCTCATATATAAAAATCATCTAGTGTTTCCAACATTCAAACATTAAGAAACTATTACTACTCATAACTCTTCTTCATTGAGACCGATCAAAAGATTTTAATCAGTGACACCTAAAAGGCAAGGAATTTCAAGCAAGATTCGTCCTCTCAATATTACTGCTTTGCCTGGAAATGAAACCACTATTAATGGGGATAGCACAATAACACCAAGATAAAAGCATTTACCGATCCTTACGCCTCGAATATAAAGAAGTGATGAACAAAACTTGCACGATTACTTAGATCATCTTAATTCAATCAGAAAATAAAAACAGCCAACGAAACAAGCTGTTATGAAAAAAATTAGAACTGAAACTGAAATAATGAAACTTGAGAGTCAAACTTTAATCTAAAGATTTAAGAAAGTCAAAGAATAGTAAGAATAAAAAAAAAAATATTCGCTTTTGTAAACCATAAAGAATCCGTATGCTTAGCAATACATTAATTTTAGCAAATAAATATTTAATTTAATACATAATTTACATTAATTAAAAGTATAGAGATTAAAATTATTATATTTTAGGAATATTTAAATAATTCGAGAAAGATGTTTTAAGTAGTAAAGAATTTAATTGGTATGAAAAAGAATTTAAAAAAGATCTTATTAAAACAATCAGCCGATGAGTTGATTGATTTTTAAGACATAGCCAAAATGTGTTGTATTCGTGAGATACAATATGTCAATGGAGAATAAAGAATGATAGATAAATTTGATTTGTCCTTGATAGATGATCTTACATACATGAGCGAGGCAATCGAAAATTTATTATTATAAAACAAACTAAATGCAATCAAAAGAATGAGTGACAATGTACATATCACATAATAAATCATAGATTTTAATTGAAGAATACGAAATATCGAAACTAAGAGAATAACTAGGAATGAGAGAAGAGGATCAAAAGCTATCAATCTCTACTTTGGCAATGCAAAGATTTAAACCTCACCTAGAATTGGATAATATAGAATAAAGATTAGGATAATTATCATAAATACCAAAACAATACAGATAAACCTCATAAGTTTTATGTGAAATAGTTGATAAATTAAACGAATGATCTTAATCATGTTTTCATAGCAAACTCTCATCATCTGAGAATTTTAATAGATCTTCAGGTTATTTATATGGTTAAACTTGTGGTCTATTTTATGAGTTTTATTAATTTTATTGGTTAGGTTCAAAAGCAGTTAATTTTAGACTTTCCTCTATTGCTTTCCTGAGCTCTTCATCTTCATCAAAATCATGCATAGCTCCCTAAACTTAAAATGCATTCCCAACATGGTTGTTATAACTATTTAAAAAGTTGGCCTCCTCAAATTATTGATTATTGTCAGACTTCTAATCTGGCTGCTTCAAATATTGTTATCAAATACCTTGTATTCAGGAACTAAATGCTTCACTTAGAGAGTATTATAAAAGAATATTGCTATAGAGTTCATAGCAAAGGATGGCCTCTTAGAATTATGATCTCCAGGAACTATGGACTATTTAAATATAGTTAAAGTCAATTACAATATTTTTATCTCCAGCATAAGCTTCATGTAATTTCTTAGTGTGATGAGGTAAAACAAAAGTATCTTCGTCTGCTGCAATGAAGAATGCAGGAATGAAGGCCTTTGAAACATGATTCTTGAGTGGATTGATGTTTTCTATATCGAAATTGGCTTTTGATTAAATAGTTTTTCTTATCATAGACAACCCAGCAGAGATAGCAAAAGAGGGTACTTTTTGAGCATATTATTTTGCTAACTCTTCTGCCAAGGTCTTTAGATTTGAAAATGCACTATCCAAAACTAAACCAGCTATGCTAGGATCTCTATCAGCATGCATTAAAGCTGTAACTGCACCCATTGATCGACCCCACAATCCTATGGTAGAAACTTTATTGCTTTAACGCAACCAGTCAACTACTACTTCAACATCATCTCTCTCGTACCATCCTAAGGATATGTAGTCTCCTTCTGATTTACCACAACCAGCAAAATCAAAACTGAACACCTAGATATATTGCTTTTCATATTTATATTTTGAATACCTATAGAAGTCCATCCAAAGAAGCCAAACATTCTAATCTGCTACTACTATTACCATGCAAGTATATTACACATGGCAATTATTCACATGGTTTTTAAACGGGCTCAAAAAATGAGCATTCTAATTTGAGTCCTCTCTTATTTTTGATTTAAAAATCAGTTCTCTTAATCATCACTCCCTAAATTTTAAATTGACTGGGACCTAAATATACCTGCTTATCTTACCTAAATCCTACTCAGAATACTCGTTATCTCTTGGAGGTCGAATTATGGCCTTCCATAAATCATCATAACCAGCAGATAGTGATGAAAACATATATATATTAATTTTAATTCATCATTCCTTTATAATATCCATTTGTATACGAATAGATTCATTCGAACCAAAATTTTATTGCAATCCCTTGGCCTTTGGTGATCCGTCATCCTCCATATCTTCCTACAATTCTAATAACATCTCAGATTCCTTATTCAGCAATAAATTAGCAATTAAAAGCGGCTTTACTTTCTTTTCAACCCCAGCCTACATTAAATGCTCTTTCAAATCAAGAATCTTCCTCTCCAAAGTTTCGATAATCTCTCTCCAGGAATCTATTTTCTCTGTTTCCAACAATGTCAATTATTCAAATCTTTATTCTATTACCTTCCTCTATCCAACCCATCCATCAATTAATTTTTAAAACTATCCTCATTATTAACAAATTTGTACCTATATCATAATCTCAGTTTTTGTCCCCTTTATCTATAAGAATTAGTTCTAAGCTTCCTCTGAAAATAATCCATATTCTACACACACAACTGCAAACTTTTCAAATGAAAAATTCTACTCTCCCTTAATTAACAAATCAGCATTTGTGAAGAATATTTCAGAAATCTCATCATTGGTTAATCTATCAGGTTCTATATGTCTAAGCAATAAATACCATTCTTCAAAATTACACATACCATTGCCATCTAATTAATATATAAAATTTTAGTTACCTAAATCGCATGCAGCAAATGCATTAATAACATACTCCTTGGCCCTGCTTACCAATATTTTATATTTCACGAACATTTGAATCATAAATTAATCAAAATCAATCACCGGTTATCTATTAGATGTTTTTGTATCTACTTCTTTTAATAGATCTAATTCCTTTTTTAGCTCTTCCTTTTCTTCAACAGTCATTCTTGAATCTGCAAACATCCCTATATATTATTATGCTCTGACATAAGGCACAAAATATCTGACTTCAGATTCTTAATCTCCAATCAAGACACCAAGAGTTGACACATTTGTCACGTAATCAAATGCCTCCAAATATTTTTTCATCTCATCTATTGTGTAATTAACACAGTCATCAAACAATCCTAAAAATTTTGCAAAATTGTTTATTCTTACTAATTATTTATAATGTTTAACTGAAACTATGAGAATCAAAAATTTCTATTCTGCTATTTTCTTTATACCAAATTATTAAAGAAAATAACTATAAACAAATGAAGCCATGTCTTAATCTTTAAAAGCCTGATTATCCTTCTATTGTTGTATCCTATCCTAATAGATTACTGTGATCTGTTTTAATAATAATTTTAAAGGCATAAAATGTTTAATTTTAGGTAATTACTTTAATTTGATTTTCTCAACTAATTATGGACCAGCATTCACTTTTTAGAATTCATAAACTATATTAACCTTCTGACCTAATTAAGGACCTTTGAAAATCAATTTTGCTTAATTTAACTTTTTATTATCCCTCTATTTTCTAATCATTTTTTAAGATGAATTGAATTTTGCAAATTGCTCAGGAGATGATTCTCCTTCCAACTATTTTTAAGTTTACAATTATTATTATTATTGTTATTCTTTTAAAACCTTAAATGTGCCAATAGACACTGCTCTGCTTCTTGTGTCTTCTAATTCTATCATGTGTTAATTGCATCTCTCACTCATCTATTCAATTATGTATTGAAGTTCCTTGTTTTTATTTTCCAAACTTTGCATCATAATCACTAGTGTTTTCACTTTATCTAAGTCTAAATATCGATCAGAATTGATATCCATACTCTAATCATTACTAGTTGCTTATTCAATAGACTAATTCACAGCTTTTTTAGATCTAAAGGAATCTTGTCTTAGCTAATTTAATTTAGTCACTCCTGGAGATGGTATATCTTTATTCAGAAATTTAGATTCAATTATCTAATTCAATTATCGACCAGAAAAGGCTTTATTAGCTTTATCTTCACACAATTTGAGAGTCTCTTCAACTTGGCTTCTTTGCTTGTATTGTTCCAACACACTTTGAATTTTAGTCTAAGTATCAGTTATCAAATTGAAATCTTTAGCCATCATCACTATATTTGTTTGTATCTCCTAAGTCTTTTAATATAAATGAAGTATGTCTGGTTCAACTTAGGTCTCTACACAGGCTACCTTAATAATCTTATCCATATTCATCACCATATTGTCCATCTCTATGATATTTTTATCATCCAATAATCCATCCATCAAATCGTCTTCATCAGATGAACTTGATTTCTCATGTTAGGTTTATTGAACTTGAGAATTACCTAAATAAGACATTCTTCGTCCTGATTAAGTTTAATTGGAATTAGTGATATGCTACAAGATCTTCTGTGGCTAGGATTGTTATGGCTGATTTAATAGAGGAGGTTGCAAAACTTATGATTACCTTTACGAAAACATGCTTTCTTATTTTATCAAAATCTTTTAGCTATTACCTTACTAGTGACTACTGTTAATATCTCTTTGTAATTATTATTATGATTCTAATTACTTCTAGGTAATTATTTATAGTTTTCTGTTGAGAATTTCAATTTCTTAATGAGATTATTTTAACTTCTTTTATAAAAATGAGGCAATCTTCCTTAGATCATTTAATTATGCTCTATTTTTTTTGAAATTTGCCTCCAATTCCTTATATTCCTATTTACTAACATTATGTTGAATGATTTCTTGAGAGTATTTATGTTAAACATCCTAAATCTGAGTTTATAAGTCTGACATTTTTTCTTAATAAATAAAATACACTCTGGCCTATTCATCCATTACTTAGACATCATTTTTCTTAAGCAATATTTCTGTGTCAAATTTAATCTTATTTACCATTTGAATAACTTTGTCCCAAATTTATTCAACCAATTCTCCTCTTTCTAAACATTCTCTTTTCAACGATTTAATCAATTCATTCATCGTTACTGTTAATAAGGGTATCAGATCTCCTTATTATTATTTTTAGAACCAATCTTTTAATTGGATACTCTAAACTCTTCCACCAGGATCTTCTGTATGCAAGGAGGATATTTCCTTATTCAAACCAACATCTAATTTTTAATATTCCTTCATATCGATTAGATGAATTTGTTAACCACTTCTTGATTTCTTATGGAAAGTTGTCCCTTAACGTCTGGGCTAAAAACTGCGTTACTCCCCTATTTATGAAAATTGACATACTTGTTGTGGCAGGTTATCGAATTTAATCATAAAAATGGCTTACATCATCACGAACTTTCGAAATTGTAAGTCTTTAGAACTTTTTATCCATCAACAATTTTTATTGGGTAATTTATTAGATTTTAGTTTGCTTAATAAATTCTGAAAGATCTAACGAAGCTTTCGGAGAATGCTAGGTTGACTTACAACTTGTGTGTAAACTTAATGCCTCTTGTTTGGCCTTTCTAATTTAATCACTGATATGCTGATTATTAATAGTAACAGTTTGATTCATAAATGATGGAGCTGATTGGGTATCATTTCTTTCTTCAACTTCTCTAAGCTTGGTCAATAATAACTTGCTAGTAATCTATTTTTAAGCAAACATTTAATAATTTAATTTATTATGATTAAATATATTCACTTTTTTAATACTCTACTTGATTCTAAACACTCCTTCTTTATGTATCCATTAAACTACCCATCCCCAATATATGCCAATTCAGCCAAATTACTTGTTGATAATTTGTATTCTGGCTCGAATCTATCCTTCATCAATTATAGAAATTCCTCCTTTAACTTCTCCTACTACTATTGAAATTATCTAGCTTTTATCGCTGGTAATAGTGTATTGTACATGAAATCTCTAATCCTTTTATATCTGCTTCTAACTAATTGCATTTAGATTTCCAACATGTCAGGAATCAGTTTCCCAAATTTCTCCTTCCTTCCTTCTGTCACTGCTAAAAAATTAGGATTCCTGTTGCATTCAAATATCCATAAATTCAAATCGTCATCAAGTATGAAATCCACTCCAAAAAACTCCCCAACTCTACTATCCTTCAAAAGATACTTTTCTACCGAAAAAAAAAGATGAGTAATCTTTCTCATAATTTAAGGGTAAAGTTCTTCATTCAACCAATTACGCGATTTTATTTTACCTTACTGTAACAAAATATCTTGTAACTCTTCTAAATTCCAATCAATATAGAGATCGTCATCCTATTCTTATCCTGTTGTTTATTTATGTGTTTTTGTTACAGCTGTATTACATACATGTGCCTCTTTAGTGAAATCTAACAAATCAAACTTTAAGGCACATTATTTAATCAACGCCTTCTTATATCCATATAAGATGGGTGGATTTGTGGATGCAATCTAAAAATAAGATCTAAATTCCATCTTATGGCCTTTAAAAATAAGTAAGGATTCTTAAGGTACTCTTGAATTATTCACTTAAGAAAGATTGCGTCCACAACCTAGACTGTCTTTGTACCATGATCTAATTATTTTTTCATTCTAATAATCTAAAAGTAATATGCCATTTCCTAAATGTCTATTTGTTTTGTAAATGTACTAGATCCCCTCATTTTCCAATTTATCCTTGTATTACTTTGTGTTTATGATTTCAAAGAAATTCTCACACTCTTCTTTCAACCACATTCTGAATGTTGGCTTTTCATAACTAGCATCTTTAATACATGTTGTACTCTTATTTTCTTATTTTAAATTGTCAATGTAATTATGAAAATGGGTTGATTGATTTGATTTTAATGCAATTTCCTCTTGGCCTGGAACATGGAAATATTTTTAGAAAATACAACCTGCTTATTTTCCAAAGGTATGAGTTCGAAAATAGTTTTTAGCATATGGATATACTACTGATGTCTCTAGAGGAGTTTAATGATATCCAATTTCAATTTACCTTGTCTATACAAAGCTTGGTAAAGCATCATACATGTTTTGTTGTATGATTTTTCTTGCCAAATCTTAACCACCATAATCTCTTAATACCATTTGATCTTATACTACTACTTCAGGATGCAACAATTTAAAAAGGTCGCTTCTTAGACAATAAAAATTATCATGCACTAATGCAATCTCATATCCACAATTTCTATGTATGTTAAACTCCTATACTTGCATGGTTAAAAATGGGATTATGTTAAATCAACCGTCTATTCCAACCATCTTGACATTCCTTTCACTGCTTCATTATAATACCTATAGTTAGCTGATCCCTCTGATAAATTAGCCCTGTGATACATGTAAACAATGAATAGCACAATACCAGATGCCAGACTAAGTAAAAATGATTATAACATAATTATTATTAATAAAAATATAATTTTTCATAGAATTTTAAATATGAATAATCCCTACATTTTTAATGCTTATGATGTTAATTGACACTCTATGCTTCAGATTCCACGATGAGTTTAGATATTTAACTTAGCATTTAACTAATACTTTCTGAAAACTAAATAAGAATAAAATAATTGATTTCCAAAGATCATACTTAAGAATATTCTCTTATTTATCTTTTCTAATAGGCTACATTACAATGCTTGAATTTTAAATCGTATTAAACCTTAGATAAGATCAATATCATTAAATATTTTACTTTTGTTTAAGTTATCAAGATGTATTTGTGATTTGAGATATACATTTACATATTAATCAAATAGAAAATAGGAAAATATATAATTCAAAAATTAGGAGAAAGAAATATTATCAAGTTTATAAATTTTACAATCTTTTATCTAACAATAGAAGACAAAATTTTCATGAAACGATTATGTTACTTAATTCTGAAATACGTTTAAATAGGTTTAAAAAAATATAAAATTAGATTACTTTTTTATAAACTTATGTATAAACTAATAATAATTGCTTAAATTTATGATTTATATTTTATTATCAAATTTTCCCTTTATAATTGGCAAGTCTCTTTAAAAGTAAGTCTTCTCCGGTTTTAATGTAATGCATATCAAGAAAGGAATAATCATTATAATAATCTATCTCAAATCCATAGCCATCATTTTTGAGTAATGTAATGCCGCAATTTTAATGATAATAAAAGTATTTGGAATTTTGAGCTCTTCCACAAACAAACCCCATCACCTAATCCATAAAATTTCCATGTCCAATTATTAATATAGATTTTTTTGTTTCTTTCTGTAAATCTTAAATTACCTTCTCTGCTCTTTATGTACATTCTTCATCAGTTTCTCTTTTATCTTTAAAATACCATCCTGCATCTTGTATTAATTCATCTATTTCAAACTCTGGATATTGATTCTAAAACTCTCTATTAATATTCTAAATAATTACTTTCTTGTTAATCCAGGAAATCCTTTATTCATACGTTAATTACCTCCTTTTTCATGTAGATTTTGTTATATTTTGAGAGGAACTTTAAATCCTTCACTAATTAATTATGCGGTTTGAATAGCTCTTAATTAAGGGGAACATCTAATTTCTTCAAATTCAACATTTTTTAATTTAAGATAATCAGTCAATAGTTTTACCTATTTGACACCTGATTCAGAAAGTGGAGGATCCTATTGACGATTCTATTCATATTCTAAGTCTGAAAGATCATTGATAACATTATTCATAGATTGTCCATGTCTAACATAATAAATTTTCATGATTTAATTATTTTATTATTTTAATTAATAAAAATGGTTAGTTCCTAGAGTACACTTATTTGATATCATAATAATTTTTATAAAAAGTTTGTTAAGCAAATGAATCTAAAAGTTGTTTTATCAAAAGGAATTAAATATTAAATATTTATTTTTAGAATACATTAAATAATCTTTAAAATATTAAAGCATTTTTGTTAAGAAATTTATTAATTCCTTTTATGTTGTGATTCAACTTAAAATCATCATTTCTCTATAAATAAATTTGTTGTTATTTCTTAACTAAATAAACACAATTCATAATTAATAAAATAAAATTTGCAAAAAAAATGTAATATTAACCAGCATACTAATAACCATAACAGCAATATATCAACCCTGGGTAGATTGATGTAATAATTTTTAGAAATCTAGACCTCTTTTAACTCAGGATTAGATGCTATCTCTAGATGTCCAAGTGTTTTCATCAAATAACGTCCCGACTATTTGGAATCTTTAGGATTCTGCGAGAAAAAAAATGTTTATTATGTTTATTAATCCGATACCATGGGAAATAAACCTGATTTTAAGCATCAAGCTCCTATTTTTAAATGTAAGGAGGAAAGCAGCTGTTGGCAAAGAAATTGTCTTCCAGGTGCTTGTCGAGCTTTTGATTTGAAAGTCAAATAATATGACTAAAAATAAGACACAAATACAGTATTTAAATTGAGTAGAGAGTTCAAATGCACATTTCTTTGTCTAGCTCGGTAATCAAAATATTTAATTTCAGACCTATGATGGAAGTTTAACTATAAAATGGAGGGAAAATAGGCTATATATGTTATCCATTTATGTGTTGTGATAAGGGAGTTGAAATAAGAGATGAGAATAATTCATTAATATATTCTGTTAAAGGAAGTTGTTGTCAATGGCCATTTTTAGTGTAATTACCTTGTGAAGCATGCTAAAGAGCTAGATTTGATATTTTGGATTCACAAGGATAGGTATATTGTGATCAATATATTTAAGAAAGTTTCGGAATTGTGGAAAGAATCTGCAGGGTTTTGCAATGCATTATGTAATGTAGATGCAACAAACTTTAGATTAATGTTTCCAGTGCAATCCACCAGTAGATAGAAGGCTCTTTTATTAGCAGCTGCCTTATTCATTGACTTTAATTATTTCGAAGAATCTCCTTAAGATTAGAATCAAAATTCCATGTGATTTTTACAATATTTTAGATTAATTATTTATCATCTTAATATTGGCTATCAGGCTTATTAAAACCTGAATACAGCGGAAAATAGAATGGGTAGTTAAGAATCATTCGATCTTAATTTTCCTTAATTTTACTTTTCTAATAATATCTCTTATTATTATATTATTTAAAATTGGCATGAATAATCATAAAACATAATTGTACTTCTAATTTGAAACAAGTTTTCTAAAAGTTATTTGAAAAATCATAAATTAACTTTTATGCGTTGTATATTATTTTGCTTTTTAGCTAATTAATGTTAAAAAACTATAGGAAGAATCATTTGAAAGTATTTTAAACAGCATCATCTAATTATTAGCTGACTAAATTGATGATTTCTTATAAAAAAAGAATTATACTTTTTATTTAAAGATAGTTTTTGTATTTTAGATTAAATCATCCAAGCCTAATGACATTTTTACCCTTGTTCAAGTTTTTAAAATATTTATAATTATAATTTTTATTAAGCTTTATAAGTCTTAACCATTATTTAATCAGCAAAGACATTCATTTTAATAATATCAATTATTAACTTTTTTTTTTTTAATAACTTAAATAAAATAAATTTTTTAATAAAAACAAATGAAATAATGTATTGATCAATAACATTCCCATATTTTTATTATAACGACGTTATTAAAACACAATGTTATTTCATTAATTTAAAGACAAATTTAGCATTAATTAAAGAGACAGTCATGGTTAAAATTGAGAGTTAGTTATAATTAAAATTGATTCATAATTTTTACATGTCCAAAACAAATTTACATTCTGATTATTATCATTAAAAGATCTTTTCATCGTAAGATGCCCACTTGAATTTAGTTGTTTTCACACCTAAATAATACATTTGGTTTTTACATTGAGGAATTCTCGGTTATAAAATTAAATTGGCGCCTTTAATTTTTAATAGAGTTTGATATGTTGTATTATTAATAATGGGCTTATAATTTTTTAATACTAATTACACTCGAGGAAATAGATCAATTTAATAATAATTGATATTTTTAGTATTAATATCAAAGTTAATTTAGAGCTGTTCGCTTTAATTATTCAAAATGAATTTTAATGTAAGGTTAATTTATGTTAATCTTGAGAACAAGGCTATCAATATTATATAATTTAACGTGATAATTTAATTATCAAAATATTATATCCTCTTAAAAAATAATTTATGACATTAAAATTTAAACTTCATCATTTTCCGATCGTCTGCGTAATATTTGTATATTTTAATTTATCTCTGCTTATTTATTTAATCTAAGATCTTTCTGTAGTTTTGTTTATATCTGGATAGAGAAAAAATAAAAAAGATAATTTATTTTTGAATTAAAATGATTCCTCAAACTTGGAATGAATTTCTTGAATTTATTGGTGATGTTATAGATAAAGAACTTGACTAGCCTCTGATTAGCCAATTTATAAAGATACCAAATACAAGAATGACATCTTTTTAAATTATATCATACTTCAGCGCAGATTTTCAAAAGTATAAAACTATTATAGGAATTAGGGCTAAGATAAAAAGAAAATGCAAATGGGGGTGCAAAGAAAAGTATTTCTTGATTTGGTGTATCACTAAAATCACGGAAAAGCTTTAAATAAAATTTCATGAACTGGTAATGCCTTTTTTACTATTTATTATTGTGTAGTATTAATGGAAAGTCTTCGAGAAACTATCTAGTATCTTAAATCTCTCAGAAGAACTTTTATTGACTAAATGGTTGAGCCTTCTGAATTATAAACTTAAAGAACAGCCTTGGAAAAAAGAAGAAGATGATTTACTAATTAAACTAAGATAGTATTAATTTCTGCTAAGTTAGATCATACCCAGGACCTAAAGACTGGATAAAAATTGCAATTGAATTTATAAAAACTAGTTAAACAGTAAGGTATCCAAAATAAATTCGAGAGCGATTTAACAATGTTATCAATCCAGACATAAATAAGTAATCATTATATAGATTTAGAAATGAATTCCGCTAAGATGAAATACTTATTATTATTAGAAAAGCTTTAAGTACGAATAAAAATTGGGCGAGAATTTCTAAATCATTACCAGGTCGAACAGATAATCAGATAAAAAATTTGTACAACTCTATTATAAGAAAAATTTTAAATGAAAAAGTATTTGTAAATATTAACAACATTAGGAGAAACCTGATGACAAGGTGGACGAATTACAAATTCTAAATCTAATTATCCAACACAATAATTATGATCCGATATTCATCTCGTCCATTTTAGAAGAAACCAAAAGGAAATAAATTTGTGTCAAAACTGAATCAACTTCTGATAATTCTTAAACTTCTGAAATGGGTGTGAATAATTTGCCGTTCTAACTAGTCTACCCTGTTTTTTACAATTAACCCTTCAATTATCAAAATATTTATTTTTCCTACCCTCAATTTTACCTATTACCTCATTAATAGTCATTAAGAAATCCAATGTTTAATTAAACATGATTTATTTTATTAAAAATTTCATACAGTTTAAATTACTGCATAATATTATATTTTTCTAAACTGCATATATATATAAAAATTGAATATACTATTTCATTTAAACTTAATTTTAGTATTATTTTAAACAACTAAAAGGATGATATCATAATTTATACACTTGAAATTGAAGAAAGATGTTAATTATTTTTTTAAATGTATTTTTTAGATTTTTTACTATTCAAAAATTGGTTTAATCATGTGAAATATGTTTATTATTGAGAAAAAGTAATGAATCTAATTTATTTATAGAATATTAATTTATTGTAATATTCTTAATTTAGCAACATATCTGATTTAATGAATAATTAGAAAATTCCTCATAATTTCATAGTCATCAGCCTAATTTTAAAGTTAGACATAATATGCATTTAAAATTAAATTCTATATTCTTTAATTTATTTCTTTCTGTTTTTATAAAAATAGGTATAAGAGTCTAGTATTAGTTAACTTTTTTATGAACAAAAAATTTTTTATCTTGCTGGGATCTGTTGAGATTCAATAAAACTTAATAAATAATAGGGTAATGCAAATAATGCTGAATAATTTTTATCTCAATACAAATATTAATTGTATAAATCTAAAAAAAATGAAAACTTTTTAATATAAAATTATTTGAGATTAATTAGAATTTTATGATTCATCTTCGGTGAAAGTTATTTTTTCGCATAGCTTGTCTGATTTATATTACTAAAAAGGTCAAAAATGCTAATGATGTAACTCACTCGATATATTAGAGTATATTACTTTAAATATTTTCATTGATGGGTTTAAATAACAACTTACATATTAAAACTAATTGATTTATTTTGATATTTTTAAGCTAGTGTTTATACAATCTAGAACTTTTTATCTAAACATTTAATTCAATAATAGTCTAATTATTTCTTCAAATGAATGATTTATTAAAGAGATTAATAACTCAAGTTAGATAACTTTATATTGAAAATTAATTAAATGTATAATAATTAGGTTTTAGATGAGTTAGAAGAGTTTATCAAATAACAGAAGCTGAATGATAATTTTAGAATAGAGGCTAAAATTGGCACAATCATAGCCAAAACTGATGAAGCACTGATAGATTTAAAACACTTTTAAGACTAATTTATAAATGTGGAAAGTAAAATAGAAAAAAAAAATTATCGATTTGAATCTGCTATATCAAAATTAGACTATGAAAAGGCATGCTAAACATTAAAAAGTGAAAAAAGATGGGAATTCAATCTTGATATTATCTTTGCGTTGAATTATGCAACTCAATTATCTTTCAGAATGGGATTTGATGAAAAAGGAAAAATCTTTTGTATTTTATTTTATTTTACATATTTAGGTTATGAAAGAAAAAAAGAGCTAAAATCAAAGCATTTGGATATATTGGACTATAAAAGATAATATAGAATAACATTAGCATAATATGATATTATAGACTATAATTAAACAGAAATTTGTTTAGAAAAAATCAGAGAATATATAAAAGAAAATACATTATAAGTCACTTGTGTAAGATACAAATAAACAATGATTTATTAATTGGATGATTATTGCGAAAGCTATGTCTTCCAAGTTTAATAAGTTGAAAAAAATAAATAGGCATTTTTGGTAGAGATTGCAAAGGAAATCACTAATAAGAATAATACTTTTAAAAAGAATTTAGATAATGCTTTGGAATTGTTGGAATAACACAGTATATATATGTTTGAATTTAGAGAATTATTATAAACCATTTTACGAAGCAGAAATATCTATCAAATAATAAAAGACTGCATAATCAATATAAAGCCTTGTTGAGAAATACATTAAAAAAATATAATAGTTTCATGATGATGTACGAGCTTAATATCCTGAACCAAGCTTTGTTGGCGTAAGATTTGTTCAAACACAGAAATAGAATGTTTAATAAGCTTAAAAATAGCAATATTATGGGTAGTAAAAAGGCACTTAACTAAAAACAAGGGGATAAAATCCATACCAATAATAGGATAGAAATCAATAAGATCAATAATTTCTTGATTTTAGTAATTCTAATGAAGATGAAAATACCAGACAAGTTTAGGGTTGGTAATAAAAAAAACCATAATATGGTAATCAATTTGATAATAATCAAAAACAAAAGTATAATTAAAGAGGGAGAGGAAGAGGTCGTGGTAATTTGCATGGATATGGTAAAGAAAGAGAAGAATAGTCAAATAGTGACGATGAATAATATTAAAGCAGATAAGAAGATTATTATTGATTGAAAATTGACAAATTGAGTAATCTATTTGAATCATATCAAATAAAAATAAATAATTTTAACAATTTATTTTTAAGAAGATTAATGAATTAACCAATACAGTTTATGTTTCAATTACTTTTGTTGATTGTTTTATTGGTATATTTTTATAAAAATGTCATATCTTTTACAATTTTTCATTAATAAATGCCTAACCTTAAGCGAAATTTCCAATATATTAAAATAGTTAAGCTTCTTCAACCTGACTAAATACAACGTCCGATTCATTTCTTATCAAATCTATTTGATTCAAAGAAGATAAGAGTTTCCTTCCAAATTCCTAATCTCCTGTTTCATTTCCAGCCTAGTATAATAGACTTTCTTACAATAACTTTTTCCAAATATTAAAGTATTTTTTCAATATTTTTGATATTTTCTTAGACTAGTTATGCTGGATTAGTTGTATTTACAATTTTGAAATCTTTTTATTATAGATTGGGAGCTAAGAATGGCCAGGCTTATTATAAATTTTCATCTGAAAAGGATATTTTTATAGGCATTGTGTTAAAGGATGCCACTGCCGCATAGTGCTTTAATGATTGATTAAGTTTAAATGCCTAGCTATTATGATAAAAATACTTTCATTTCTATCTTATTAGTATTTAATGTAGGATTAATTTTAAGAATAATGGGTTAACCTAATACTGCAGTAGCGTTGAATCCGTTCTCCTTTTTACTAAATTCAGTTGAAAGATAAGCAACACCAATATCTAATGATAAGTTTTTGGTTGTAACAAACCCTCCTAACAAGACTTCTTAAGGATTTGCTTATAAATGGCTTAAGTATAAATCTTTAGCATCACCAAAATCAAATGTATACTCCTAGAAGATTGATGAACAAATATACGTTAGTTTCATCTCCAGGGTCAACTAATAAGGCAAAACATTCTGTTATATGAACTTTATTTGTATAGACTGTCCCTAATAATGCTCCACCTACTATGGTTTCCTCTTATCTTGAGGCACCAAATTTTCTGTAATGCAAGTCTAATATTTAGGCGATCACAAGGGGATGAATATCAATTTCAAAGTTTATGTTGCAACACAAATCAACTGTTTCTTGTGCCATAAATTAAATTATTTTATGAAATAAGAGTAATACATAATATAGTAGAAGAGAGAAGAATTTAGGAATGAGATTAGAAATCAAAGAAATGAGCTACAGTTTTCGAGGAAAAGAATGCTGACATCAAATGCAGCAGGTAATTCTCTAATCTAAATATTGTAATAAACTGATATAGAGAATGAGTAATCTGCAAATGTAGCTGATAATTCTCTCATCTAAATATTGTAATAAACTAATATAGAGAATGAGGAATCTGCAAATGCAGCACTTTAATAAAATCTTCCTCAGAGAATTATTAACTCATTATTCATTTCAGATGTCAACATTAACTATGTCTAAAATTTATTGGGTAAAAATTTCTTAAAATTAATCAGAACATAATCGGTTACTTTTAGTAGAATCACTTTACTTCTTTAATTCGTTTACTGCCAATGCTAATGAAGGATAAATAAAACAATGCTTTTAACTTAACTTTTTATCATACCTGGTATCCTTATATGCCAATTTTTGCTAAAGTATGACAGAAAATTCAGATATATTTTATATAATAGATTATTTAGATTGCATATTCTACAATCTAGTACTTTTGAAAGTTGAATTTTAGGCATAAGATAAAAAATAAATGGTGGACTGCATTGAAAAGATTGTTCTTTTAAATAAATTTTAAAAGTTTAGCTTATAGGCGTAAGAATGTTTGCTTAACTTATATTTTAAACTTTCTTTATGTTTCGATATAACAAATTCATTAATAATATGCTCATATATCTTACAAAATACTAGCAAAAAAGAACTTATTATAATTGTTGTTAACTTAATTATTAGAATATTTTATCAATCAGCTCGAGAAAATAGAAAAGCCCTAGAATTATATATAAATTAAATTAAACATTTAAATATTACTGAAAAATTAGTTCAGCTATCTGATGAGTATCCAAATGAAATCATTAAATATTTTAAAGTTATGTCAAACTAGTAAAAATCAATCACTATTGAGATAATTTCTTTGTAATAAGCAAGCTTAATATATTAAAAATGGAGATACTTTGACAGGGAACTATTTTATTATTTTTTAGCAAATATCATCCCAACATATAAAATTATATTAACAGGAATTTTATAAAATTAGTAACTATTGGATGAGATAATGATAACGCTACAAACCAAATAAAACTAGGAATCAAAAGAAGCATTCTATTTATTATGTACAATTGTAAAAGAGAATTCATCTATCCAGTCTAATAATCAGTTTATTGGAATTCTTAATTAATATTTTGTATTTCAATTTTATGAAATAAGGTCAATAGCCACTCAATAGATGAATACAAATTTTATTTAAATCTGATTTTGTAAGACCCAACTGTATTGAATTAAAATTGTCCCAATGCTGTAAAAACAAAACTTGAGTCATTAATTAAATTACCAGAACTTGAAACATAAGTGTAAAGAATATTAAATGATGATTTACAATTTATTTTTGAATGAATAAGTATAAAAAAATTTTTCCGATACCGGGGATTGAACCCGGGTCCCCAGGGTGAAAACCTGATATCCTAACCACTAGACTATACCGGAAATGTTAATGTATATATCCAAATTGTGTTCATATTAAGCATACTACTAGTAGCTATTTTTTTTTCAAATTCTTTGAATCAAAAATCTGCATCGATAATTTAATTTTTTCTAAAATCATACTTGTAAATTAATACATAAATTTGTTTAAAAGTAGTTAAAACTATAAAATTTCATAAAATTAATATAATAAAAATCCAAAATTATTAAGGCTCAAATTCTTGCACATTTAAGTTTAATTAAATAATAAAAATAAAATAATAATAACAAGTTTATTATTAATTTGAAATAATTTTATTCATTCTTTTTGATTATTAACAAAATTAATTTAGAAATTATAAATATATTTTACGTGAATCTCATTTCAAGCCTTTTAAGAAGATAATTAAAATCCTCAATATTCATTTTTAAAGAATCTTAAAATATTTTTCATGAATCTAAGAGATTTTATTTTTCATAAACTATTAATAGAGAAGGAAGATAAATCTAAACTAATTTGATTGAAGTGGAATCATTAACCAATTAGCTAACAAAATAAATGGTTTTAAATTATTGAAATTTATTTTCAAAACATAAACATTTCTTTAATAAATAATAATTAAATAAAGCGCAAATTAAGTTTATTCTAATATAATAAATTTATGAATTAGCGCTCATTTGATACATAGAGTTTATGCAGAAAATCTAAGAAAATTGATAAGAAAGATGACAAGTCATATTGGCAGTAATTAGAAAATTCAGCAAACAGTAAATTTGGTAGGATAAGAGGTCCTAAAAAGATAATAGATTGTTTCGAAAAAAATAAATCCTTTGTTTACTTAGTTGAAGATTGCGATGGAAAAAAAAAGTAAAAGGTTCAAAATATTTTTAGGCTTATCCCAGATTTAGTGTTAGAAGAAAAATTCCCATAGTTTATGATTAAGTACTTGGAAGAGATAATTTAATTCAATTGATTTTATATAGTTTGATATTTCTAAAGATATTAACGTATCAAGAAACTTTCTTAAATAACAATTGAAATGATAAAATAATTTACTTGGTGATATTACCCCGAATAAATAAAGACAAGTTAATAAATCAAAATTTGCATAATTTTTAGAGTTTTTTTAAAAAATAGCCTTTCTTATTTATTGACGTTATTTATTATTGATCATTGATTCTCCATTCTGTAGTAATTCTTGGGGTATTTAGGGTTTACATAGAATTTTATTATTTTTATTTTATTCAATTTAGTGAATTTAGAATCCTTTAAACCAAATAACTATCTTAACTATGAAAATTAAATTTCATTTCTTTAAGAAGATTAGATACAATGTGAATATATTTATAATTTAAGAAACATAATATTTATAATCATAATTTTATATGTATAATTAAAGAAGGAATAGGAAAATTATTGAAGATGAAGAATTAGAGGATTAATCTTCTAACTTCTAATCATTGGGAAATTAAAACTCGTCATCATAAAAAAAATCTTCTCCTAATAAGCAATTATGCACTATTTGCTTAGAATAATTCACTCCCCCTTTATCCAAACTCAAATGTAACCACCTTTTTTGTTAAATATGTTTTGATTAATTTATGAAAGTAGCCAAAAAATTATAATGTCCCTTATGTAGATAACCTTTTTCATATGTATTAATGTTATAATCTCTAGTATGATATTTATATTAATTAAGATGGAGTGTTGGTGTGGATTAACAAATCTGAAAATTTCTATTAAAAAAATACATAAGAAAGCTACTCATAGCTAGAGGAAAGCATATTTTAGGAAAGCTTTTTAAACACACCATCATAAAGTATTGTGAGTGCCTCAATTTCTGAAGTTTGTTAAGTTTGCCTTTGTAATGAAAATGATGATTAAGTGATCTTTTGTCTATAATGTAGAATTCTTATTGGTCATGATTATTGTATTTAGGATGATGAGAGAATTTTAGGTTTATGTAATAGTTGTTAAAATTAATGAAATCTAATTCAAGCAATATTTTATTTTTTATCTATATGAATCTATTTATTAAACTAGAATTTATTTTTATTTCAAAATTTGAATTTTAAGTCAAATTTTTGTTATGAAAACTCAAAAATTTATTGCTCTCCTTTTTTTTTTAGAAAATTTCTAAATACAAACAATTCTTGTAAAAATTATACGATCCTTATGAATTTCTCTTTAATAAACAAATTAATTATAACATATCTTGGCTTTATGGAGATATTGAAATAAAATTAGACAGAAAATTTAGAAAATTTATTACTAATTTGTATATTTAACTTTATCATTATATTTATCATAAATGGCTTTCGAAATTACAGAAAAAATGATTGTGAATACAATTGCAGGATTCGGCTAAGTCATTAAACTACCTGAAGGACCTGTTCCAGAATAATTAACAGTAGAGGAGGAAAACTAAGTAAATCATTAGCAATCTGAAAAGAAGATTGTTTCTTGTCCAGGTTCTCCAGGACAACCAAAAAAGTAGGATTCAGAAGTTGAGAATCCTCAAAAATCAGATTAACCATTAGAAAAAAAAAATGAAATTTAACTAGAGATATAACAAGATAATTAATAAGAATAGCAGAATCAACCTTAAGCCTAGCCTTCTAAGATTAATGCTCCCAAAAAAGATGTGCCTTAATTAAAACCTAAATTTCCACCTCCTAAAAGTGTCAGTAGATAGTCTTCTAAATAGCCTTCTTTAGAGAAATAAATTTCAATGTCAGAGGATCCTTTACCATTTTCAAACTCTCTTCCTTTTTCATAATAAAGTTCAACAGAAGGTTAGCCATAAAATAAAAAAGCTCCTATTTTGAAGAGATTAACAGCTGATTTAAAAGAGTCAATAGTTTTGGCCAAGAAATTAGAAATAAAATATAAATACCCCTATTCTAATGATGAGAGATTAATAACTATTGATTTTTCATACGGCAAGATTACAACAATGGTAAAAAATATCAGCAATGTTATATTTTTATTGGTTAAAACATTTTTTGGTTAAAGAAATTACTATTTAGCAATTGTTCCTGTTACTTTTACTACAGAATAACTAAGATCATTTATAATTGATGGAATTGGGCAGAATTAAAAGCTGTTTCATAATATTAAACTTATCCATCCCATGATTCAACTAAAAGAATTGAAAGATACATAAATTAAACTTTCGGAAGCAGGTCTTAAAGATTTTTCCTAACTCTTATTTTTAGCTGAAATGACATTCACGTGGGATCCAATTAAAAAAGGTAAAAGTGTAGTCTTATCAAATAATAATTTGACAGCAAACAAAAAAGGATAATCAGATTATTAAACGGTGCTTGGAACATTAGCATTAAATTCAGGAAGGCATTATTGGGAAATTAAGATTGAAAAGTATGTTGATGAGGAAGATATCTTTATAGGAATAGCAAGGTAAAAATTTTAATATAAAGTAGAAAAGAGATTGACTTGTATACTTAACCGACCACAACAGGACACTTTTATGGCTATATTTGTTTATGTGCCAAAAAATTCGGAGCTGATGGGTAGATATAAGATTATGGATACTCAGCTGTATAGAATGATACAATAGGTGTTCTACTTGAATTCAGAAGTGGTTTAGGAACTTTATCATTTTACAGAAATGGTGTTAAGTGTGGAGAAGCATATAACAATTTGACAGGGACATCTTATCCAGCTCTAAGCATGTTTTATGGAGAAGTTCAAGTGACATTAGATTCAAAATCGCCATTACCATCAAGTTGAATTAAATGTGTTAAAGTGTCATAATTATTATACATAAATATTTCATAAAGTAATTGGCTAGAAGTTCAGGAATCCGAATGGGTTAATTCTACAATGTAGTAGTGTTATAGCTAGTTTTTGTTTTTGTTGTAAATAATAACGATCAGATATTAATATAAAATAAATTTGAATTTTGAAATGAGAGGAAGATCAATCTAAAATCCGTAGCCATTTTAAATGCGCTCTCCTTAAAGAGCTGTTTCCCCAATTATTTAAGTTGTTCCTTAAGCACCTTAGTAGCAAGCTCTTTCCGACAGTTTAATTAACATGAAAATGGAAAAAGTCTTAATGGGATTTGAAATTTAAAGATTAAATTGTGTATTGCTTGAATTGGATAGGAAAAGAAATGCTATGAAAAATACAATGTATATTTTTGATTAAATTAAGATAATAACATCAGGAGAGGGAATAAGTTTTGCTACTTGAAGTATAGAGTTAGAAATAAGAAATAAACGAATTACAACAGAAAGAAAAATTAGCAAGGGAAAAATTAAATTCTTTTTTAAGATAAGCAAGCCAATAGGAAAATTAGAGCAAAGTATTAAAAATCTGTTATCTTAGGATCAATCAAATAAATTAGAGGAAATAAGAAAACTCTAAGATGAAAATAAATTATTAGAATCAAAACTATCCTATTTACTTAGTCTAAATCAATTAGAAAACAAATAAGAAGGTACTTCAATAAAAAAGGCTGAATAACTATCTTTTTCAAAGAATGAATATTTACCTGAACATTTACAAAATGCATTGAGCAATCTTTAAAATGGAATTTCATAATATAGAAATGGTAATTTAATTTAGAATAAATATGCCAATGCTTTAACTATGCTGGCAGAATTGATAAATTCTCATAATAATCTCTTACAAAAATTGGATAAAGATTAAGATGACTATGAAGTCGAAATCTAGTAAATATAAATATATTTGACTTCATTAAATCAAGATATTGAAGCTTTGAAACGATATGAAACACCAAAAGCAGTAAGAAGAATCTTAAACAATTAAAGTCCTTTATAAGCAAGATCATAATCTCCATCATTATCATCTGAAGAGGTATTTTCAAAAATTATGACACATATCGAACATCTCCAACTTGATCCTCATAATGTACCAACAATTATTAAACAAATTTCTTTATTAAATTCATTAGTTAGATTAAAGAATGAAGATTTAAAATTGATTGGAAATAATACTAAATTAAGGGGATCTCCTGTCCGATATTCAGTAGAAAGATCCAATGGAAGTATCAGAGTATTGACTCCAATAAAATACATAAGTCCAATTAGAGTATCTCCAACCAGACACCACACTTACAACACAAATGTTAGCGTTCCCCAAAGGGTTTCCATTATTCACCCTAATATATCAGACTCGATTTAAACTTAACAAAGACCAGGCATAGCAGATTCATTCCCATAATAATCAAAAGACGAATTTTAGAATGCTTTAAGCTAGTTTAGAGATAACTAAGACAGATTATATTAATTAGAATAAGAGAGATTAAGTTTCTAGGAATAAATTTAATATTGGAAACAAAAATTCGAAGATGAAATAGAAAAAAATAATCAAAATCTATCCCCAGAAAGCATTGAATAAAAACTATTGAAAGAAGTTAAAAAGAATTAAGAAATGTTTTCTGAAATTATTCTACTAAAATAAGAGATTTAAAAACTCTAGAAATAAGTAGATTTTGAATAGGAAAAGTTGCATGATCAAGCTATCAAATCAATAGAATAGCTATCCTAATAAGAAAAAAAAAGCCAGAACTTAGAAATAATATAAAAGAAACTCGATTAATAAAATTAGGAGTAAGAAAAATAAATATAAGATTTAAAAAGATAATTATAAGTAAATGATGAAGAGAAAACAAAATTGAAAAATTAGTTATAAAAATAAGAGGATGGTTTACCTTAATAGCCAGTTGAAAACTTTAAAATTCAAC